TTCCTGCAGGCAAAAAAATAAAAATAAAAAACACACCATTTTGAAGGCTGATCTGTGTGGTTAATTTAAAGAGAGAAAAAGTGACCTATATATGAATGTTAAGAAAATGTCCAGGTGACCCTGAATCTCAATGTCTTCTGATGCCTCTATGATCTTGCCAGCATGACAGTCTTTTAAGAATTCATATTGCTGTATAAAACCCAGTGCCTCACCTTGGTAGGGGAGCATGTTCTGCTTATTATAAACTGCCCGCATTGCACATCCAAAGCCCCTCACTTTATTTTGCTGAAACACTGCTCCTAAACTCCCCATCTCGATGGGAGATTTTGATTTCAATATGAAGTCATGGTGGAAATTCTTTCCTGTAAATGCCTTTCCCTTCTGCTAGCAAAGAGTGCTCAGTGTGTTGATAGAATTGCTGAGATGTGGTTAAGTAAACCTGGCAAAAGCACCTACCAGCTAGGTCTAGCACAGTATAGCTCCCACTGACTCAAATCTGCAGCAATGACTCCCAGCTGTGACCAGCTCCATGCAGGTTTTCTCTGCTCAGCTGAGGGAGCTGCTTCCCAGCTGGCACCAGCTCAGTGTAGAAGCATGCCCGTTTAGCAAATCAGAGCTAGCTAGGACATTAGCTCTCAGTGAAGCTGACTTCAATGACAACTTCTAATGCCAAGGTTGAATTTGCTCAGAGACTTCAGTGACACAATAACAGACTCTGCTGTGCTGCACACTGCAGTCCTTCACTGTGTAACTCCTGCCTAGACCCAGGACTAAACAATGAAAAACATGGGTACAGTTGATTCTCAGTTTAGAAGGAAATGAGAGTTGTGCACATAGGACTGCAGTAGAGTTGCGTGTTGACCTTCAGCTAGCAGCAGCCGGAACAGCTTGCCTTGCAAACCTTAGTCTGCCTGTGTTGGGAGCCTGCCGTCCTCCCCTTCCCGCAGTCTCCTTGTTCATTAACACACAATACAGCCAGGGCAAAATAATGTGGCCTGGTGCCCCCAGTGCTCATTTAGCAGGCAGGAATGTACCTAAAGGGAGGACAGAAGCCAAGTGTCAGGTGGAGCCTGATTCTCCCTTCTGATTAGAAGTGACAGCATCCTTCCTTCTCTTAATTTAATAAACAGAGGCAGAGAATGAAGAGCTGGATGGGCTGAGTCCAAAGGCAGAAGCATTAGTGCAAAGGCTTGATAGAGACAGGAGTGCAGGGATGCAAGCCAAAAACACCACACACAGGAACCCTGGCATGAGCTGAGCAGCAGTGTGCAATGCAGACAGGTTTGCTGGAGCACAGTGCTGGCACATGCATGGAGCTCAGAGCAGCAGAGTAGCACAAAGAGGACAGAATGGAGTCATCCCAGAGAACCTACTCCTTCATGCTGGCTTTCTAGGTCAGGCTCCCCTGCCGGGAAACAGTTTGATCCATACAATGCCTAAAGTCAGGGAGGACTAAAATAACACATCTCAACACACTCTTGTTTTAGAGACTGCCCACATCGGGCTGGTGTCTTAGTCCTAGTAGAAAGGATGGGTTTTGTTGAGGTCTAGCTGTCTTGTGGGAGCTGCAGCATATTAACCAGCCCATCTTCTGGTTTATATTTTTTCCAGTTCTCATATTTCATTTGTGCCTGTTCCTTTCATCCAGCCCCATGCCCCCCATGCAGTGATTGAGTGTGATCCAATCTTGGGGACTGCTGCTTTCACACATGCACAAATGACACATACCCACCACTCTCTGTTCTCTTTCCTGCACTGTATGGACATCTGTAACAAGGACTGCGAGACCCATAACTGCTGCTCCCTCCTACTGCTAATGCTAGATAATGTTATCATGATTATAGCTCCTGGATTAATTCTAAGATGTGCTGTATCTCGGAGTTTTACATTTTCACTTTCCAGACTCTGGGCCTGCTGGCAAGGGCATTTTGGATCCGATGAACAAGCAAGCGATGAATTGCTTGTATTTATTTTTCTATATTTATTAGAATTTTTACTATTCTGCATTAACAGAGCATATGTCAAATGCTCAGGTCACCCCTAACAGTCTTTGGGAAGTACACTGATAAATGGATCACATACACAATGCATAACTAACATTCTGCACACAACTCTGGTGATTTTTGTGTCAAGTTTGGGCAATTGCCTAGGCAAATGGACAACCCTGTCTGTCTGCACAGGTTATCTCATCTCTGGGTGCAAAGATAATAACTGCAATGCAAATGAAGTCAACACTTTCATGCCTTGGGAAATCTGATTCTCTATGGATGGTGATTGAAACAGATTCTTGAGCCCTTTATAACAAAAAGTTTCTAATAAAATAAAATGAAATTAAAAATCCATGTACTTCCACTCTAGCTGTGAAATGGCTTTTGAACTAACTAGATCTTTTTGGTTGTCATTCAGGTTTTATTCCTGTCAATCAGTCATATTCAGTAAAATCCACAGGACAGATTGTTCTCCTTATCTTTGCATATATATTCACACACAGGACATCCTTCCATTCCCAACCTGCCATGTCAAACTTGATTTCAGTCTCTGTATATATGGCCGAGATGCCTGAGCCATAGCTTTAGCAGTTATTAGAGTTACAGTGTGTGGAGCTGAAAGAACCTCTCCCAGACTCAAAATCTGTGGGTTGGCTAGTTTGTTTCTGAAGAGTACCAGAGCTCCTCCTAGTGATGGCCAGAAGGCTCTGCACACTGAACAGGGCAGAAGAAACTGAGTGGGGACTAGATAAGTGAATATCACAGAGTTACTGGACAGTCTCTGATGGCCAATGTTGGCAGCTTGCTCTTTAAATTGTTTGTAAGGAGAAGCATGAAAGAGCCCCACTGGTCTGATGCTTCCAGTCTGCGGGATACTAACCCCCAACTGTGCCCTGCACAGCATAGATCCAAGCAGCTAGCCAGGCTGACCCTCCAAGTACTGCAGCCTAGCCAGTCCCACAAGGGTTTCTGAGCCTGTGCTCTAGTAAGATGCAGCACGTACATGCAGCAGGTCTGGCAATTCCTAAGTGATGGTAACTGTAGAGAGCAGCATGACAAATGCTTAGGTCTCCTCCCAATCCCCACTGTCAGAACCCCGGCACATGAACTCATGAGAGAGGCAATAGGGATTTAACTGGAAACTTTAATGAAATCACTTTTCTGTGTCTCCTGCTATTATAGCTTTGAATGAGAGTGTCTCCTGCCAGATCCTGCAGCAAATGTTTGACCCTGTATGTATGACCTTGATGGAAAATGGGACAAAAATCCCAGCAGCCCAGGGCAACATCCAACGGCCCCATGTGGAGTGACTACACAATGCAGCATTGTAAGAAGTGGCATTTAGGAAGTGACCATTCTGAGCCTTTACCCTTCGAATATCCTGCAGAGATTGGTGAGTTCTTGCTCCACTCTGTCAGCCCAATCTCAGCAGCCCAGTGCATTAAGTAAGGAGTATAAAGACCTGAGTTAGGATTGGCGAGGGACATGTGTCACTTTACTGGACATAAAGGATAGACAAGCAGCAGCCTCTTTGCAGCCAGAGAGGGAAAGAACAAAGACAGAACAGGTTAAATTAATCTCAAGATACTCCAAATCTTCCTTTACTGCAGAGCGCCCCCACCCTTCCCGATTGGTTGGTTTTCTTCTTGCACCCACTTGCCATGGATTTTGCACTCCCACCCAATGCCAGTCTCATTATTTCCACAAAAAATGCATTTATTTACACCCCAGACACAGTATACAAAATGAACCAGTGGAAATGTGTGGGTTCAGAGACACTGCTGGAATTTCTATCAAACTGTAGCCTTTGACCCCTGGATCTGATATCAGCTTCACGTAGTCCAAAGGCCTGATGTCTAGAGTCTCACCTAGCAGGTGCAATTGGCATGCAAAACTTGTGCATCCACATTTTGGGGGGGGTTGCACAAATGAATTGTAAAGGGCACACCAGAGAAACATGAGTCTCTGGGAATAACTTTTACCCGCAACTTTGAGGAGTTGGAGGAGCTGATAGACAAACCCAGAGACACGAATCAGCTGATGAAAAGGTAGCACATTCTGAAGGGGGACTGCTTACTTGAAACTGTGGTCCTGAAAACTTCACCTCTACTACAGCTCATCGAATTCATGTTCCCTATTTCATAGCCAGACCTGGCCCCACATAGCTATATTCCTGCTGGCACCCAGCAGGAGTTCAAAGACAATGAATTCCCTTTCCTTGTAACCCATTCTGAAAGACCTTCCCATTACCTACCTTTTCCCAGATTTTTGCTAATTTCTTTCCTGCCAGTACGGATGAGCAGGTGTTCTCTGTGGGTAACCTAGCTGCATTCTCACTATCTACATGTTATCCCACAGTTAACTTTGAGGGCAGGGAGACTATTATCCCATCACCCTTTCCCCCCTCCGGTTGGATGAGCACCCAGATCATTTCAAGACTGTGTCTTGTATTCACACATCCATACAGCTAACGCCTGCACTATACACTTGATATAAAAACCTCATAGCAGAGGCATCCCTGTCTTAAACCTGTCTGTGCTATATTGTGTCTGCAAAATGGGAGAAAAGGCATGATAGCACAGTTGTGGAGAGCAGACAAAGGGCTGGGTTGGGTGGAGATGGAGGGAGGGAGGCAGTCAGTGCTGAAGAAATTGTTCCTTGGTGGGGATTTGGCCTTGACATCAAAATCCTTAACAGCATATTACTTCAGCCCCCAAAGTGGACAGATGTTGAGGTGCAGCTCAAAGGAAGTCAGAAATCTTTCCTTGGAAAATATTTGGCTGGGAACCTAACAAAAATATTGTGAAAGAAAAGGAAATAAAAGCCCACTAGAGAAGATTTATTGCTACCTCAAGAATTTCTGTATCCCTCAGTCTTAGGAGGTCTCTGCCTCAGTAGAGAGAAGAAGAAAAACAGCCTGTATCTGAGAAGGGATTTTCATTTGTCCACTTTGAAGATTGTAGAGGGAACCAACTTGATGTGTCTTGGGAATGCTTCAGTCCCTCCTGCTAACATCAGAAATCATTTAGAGGCTTCTATAGCCTGTGTCCTGGCCCAGGCCTATAGGGGAGCTAGAGGGAGAGTGGGCTGAATTATTGCTTATTAATTAATTAAACCACAGTGCTCACCTTAATTTCCTTCTTTAAGAAGGACATGGACCAGGAGTCCCAGCATAAAGCTCACAGGGAGAAGGGCCCATAGGAGCAAGGTCTTTGTCCTTATTCTACAACAGACTCTCACTGTTGTTATAACTTGTGTGTGCCTCCAGCCTTCCAGTAATATAGCACACAGGGCACTTAAAGCTAACTGGCTAAGCTGTTGCCAGCTCCCTCACATCAACTCATTTTGCATAGAAATTTACAACTTTCCAGGTTTTTGCACCAGGCTCTGTGAAGGCCTGAGAACGAGGAGTCTGAGATGGGGTGCAATGCCCAAGTGTCCCTACCTGTTAGGACTGGTCCATGTTGACTACCTGGGATAGAATCACACCGGTTAGACAAGGGGAGCACTGCTGACACTGGTATGGCTGGGCTGGGTGACATTCCTCACTGATGCCCATCCTTTATATAAAACTTTTAACCCATCAGCACTCCCAAGGCTAAGAGAAACAAAGTCTGAAACACATATGAAGCCAGCTGTAGTACTAGGTTGTTGTTTTCCAGACAGCAATGATTTACCCAATCGCGGGGTGCTCTCTAGTGGTAGAAAGTCAATAATGCACTTTCTCCTCCAAGAGGCAGTGCCGTGCATCCCTTTTGCACAGACAGACGCTGGCCAGAATGGGGGTGCTAGGTCATGCATAGTAAAGCTGTCCTGGAGTAGATGAGATAAACAACAGTGCATTGCAGAGTCATGGGTGGATCTAGGATTTTGAAAAGGGGGTGCAGATGGTATGGTGCATCATCATGTACATATAACTCAATACATATTTTTCCCCAATTAAAAAGAAACTAGAAGTTTTACTAATATGCCAGGGGGCTAGGGCTAGATTATTCAGTTTAAGATTTAAGCAAAAACAAATATAACTTTACTGGAATGTGAAAGCCTTATTATGTTGGGTGCTATACATGCAATTAATATTTGTCCCTTTCCCTGAGAACTTACAATCTAAGTGTAAGATGAGAGACAATGGATGAGTACAGCAGATGGCAGGCATGGGAATAGCACTGGATACCAGAAAAGCAGTCAGTACACACCAGCTGTTAAACGTTGTCACGTGGTTGGTATGTGTAACTGTGGAAATAGACCTGGATGGAGCATAATGTGGTCATTCAGTGAGTTCTTCCTGTGTGTATGGCATGGTGTAAAAGATGCATA